AACACTGGTACTATTACTGACGCCTGCCAGTGGGAGTTTGTAAACACTGGTACTATTACTGACGCCTGCCAGTGGGAGTTTGTAAACACTGGTACCATTACTGACGCCTACCAATGGGAGTGTGTTAAACAGTGGCCATGACTTATGGATGAGACTACTGAACTGAGTTTTATTCTGCATGAATGGTTTGTCATGAATGCTTTGCAATTGAATTGAATCTGATTTTGTCACTCAGCGTTTTGGTTATATTAAACTGTTTATCTGACATGCTTAAAAGTTTTACCCAAGGGCTATCCATATTTACTTACTGAGTTATCTCATAGTTTTCCTTGTCTACCATTTCAGGAAGCGAAACCAAGGACGGGGAAACCGAGGGGAGTGACGAATTAGAAGGCTAGCCATTCAATTGGGGTATAAGTTTTAGATTTTATCATCCTTTTGTAAGGTTGATTTTATTCACGAGATTTTGTGATTTGGATAAGTTCCAAGCCTTGTGCATTCGTGGGATCCGTTCACGGGTGCACGGCGTCTGTCATGTTCTCGGATTTGGGTTCTGGGGCGTGACAACAATTAACTAAAATTCTTTAAATATAAAATCAAATATAAATTATCTAAACATAAATAAAAATTAATCCAAGCTAAACTAACATACTAGTTCCAAACATAAGCAAAAATTAATCTAACATAAATAAAATAATTAAACCAACATCTACATTCCAACATGAAGGGAGGTAGCTAACTCAAAACACAAATCTATAATACAATGTAATATCCCCAAATTTTCTAAGATATTTAAGGGTGAGTTATGGACTTAATTGTGAGAGAATAGTGTTGTTAGCCTTAATAATAGAAATTTTCAAAGTGTAGGGACTTAAAAGAGAAAATTTGGATAAGGTCGGCAAAAAATTTCCTTTTTCTTTCTTTCTTTTTTCTTCCTCATCCAGTAGCGTGTACTGCTCTTCCTCTTCCCCCGACCCTCTGCAACCCGACGAGCCCCCAGCTACCGCCACCCATTTCCGGCCGGGAACACCGGTAAAACTTGGGGATTTCCCCTTCTTTCTTGTTCTAGAACACCTATTCAACCCAGAATTTTTCCAAATCTGCTCTCTTCCCTTTGCCGTGAGTTCCCTGTTGCTAGGTGCGAATTTCTGGGCTTTTCCGGTAAGCAACAACCATGGAATTCATCTTTTCTCTCTTAATTTGGCTTGGGTTACTCTAATTTTGTTGTGGGTTCTTGAATTTGGTAGTTGCCGTGAGTCCTCCATTTCTTTTCCCCGTCGGCTTCCTTCCTAGCTGGACCCGGTGCTGCTCGCCGGAATTTTCTGGTAAGATGGACAGCTTCATTTAAGTCCAAATTTCATCTAATTGGTGGTTGCTTTGCTGAATTTGGTCTTTGTGTGGTTGCCCTGTGATTGTCCGAATGCTGCCAAGGAAAAAAAATGGAAGATTTTGGCGGCTTTAATTGTGTTTTTAGTTAATTCATGTAGGAATTAGTTTAATTAGGCTGCTGTGATGTTTTGGAGAGAAAAATCTCATGTGTGTGAGTTGTGGTTTGCCAAGCCATGCTCTCCATGTGCTGCCCGTGAGTAAATGGGAAAATTTGATGTGTATTATGCAAATATATAAATGCACAATTGATTTTGTGCTTGATTTCGGATAGAAAAATGAATAAATAAATAAATAGGGTATTATGGGGGCTAATTGCCGGCTAAATTGGGAAAGGATTAAATATGTCGTTTTATATGGGTATTAATTTTGGAAATATTTTGATTAGGTACTTGATTATTCTGCACCCTAGCACTTGGGATTAGTGTTCTGGTTGGTGTGATTTGAGGTAAGTAAATTTATGGTAAGTAAATTTATGGTAAAGCCTTTTGATTTTAAAGTATATTTTAAACTGTTTTTGAGATGGTGGCAAGGTTTAAATTGATTTTAAATTGATTTTATCAGCATCTGAGTATGATTAAACCGAAATGAAAATTTGGATGATTTTTAATGAGAATTTCATTGTTTTTTTGAAGTAGAGCATGCCACTTGGAACTTACTGAACTGCTCTGATGATTTAAAAATTTTTCGTAAATTATGATTTTATGTTAAATCCATGCCCAGATGGGATTTTCGGGTTACTTTTGAAATTTGAGATTTGATGGTGAATTATGGATTTTCTGGAAATTCTGTATGGTTTTGTCTCTGATATAGTCATGATTACTGACGCCCGCTAGTGGGAGTTTGTAAACGCTAGCACATGTCGATATGTATTTCTATAGAACCGGTTCACCCTACCAATGGGGTTAAACATTGGTCATTACTGACACCTGCCAGTGGGAGTTGTTAAACACTGGTACCATTACTGATGCCTGCCAGTGGGAGGTTGTTAAACACTGGTACTTCTGTAACCCTGCCAATGTGGTTAAACATTGGTTATTACTGACGCCTGCCAGTAGGAGTTGTTAAACACTGGTACCATTACTGACGCCTACTAGTGGGAGTTTATTAAACACTGACCATGACTTATAGATGAGACTACTGATGAGTTTTATTATGCATGAATGGTTTATCATTGAAAGTTCTGTTTATGCTTACATGGTTTATCTGGCATGCTTAAATTTTTATCAAGGGCTGTCCATATTTTACTTATTGAGATATTTTATCTCACCTAGTTTTTCTTGTCTACCATTTCAGGTAGTGATACCTGACACGTGGGGAGCTGGGGGAGTGACGAGCTAGACGGTTAGGCATTATTTTGGATTTAGATCTTTTGGAGTTAGGCCACTAGTCTCACATGGTTGACCCAAATAACCATTTTTATATACAGAGTTTCCTTGGTTATAGCCATAACT